CTCATAATAACTTCTAGCAATATTTATATATCAGCTTGTTAATCATTTCAGGTAATATTGTAAACTTTTAAGTCAAGTATTGATACCACTCAATTTAACTTTACCTAATATTGTTTTAATACTATGAGAAAATCTTCCATGTTTCTTTGGTAAAATTACTTTTCAGTCAAGTTCTGACTATACATAGGAGTGAACTACTCTTGCTAAACAGAAAGAAAGAATTCTTTAGAATGGTCATCTGCACAGTCAATTTGATAGGTATATAATAGATAAGGACTCCTTTTGATGTTGTCTGAGCAATTATTACATTTTTCAAGATAGGAGGAATTCTATCTTAGAGAAAGAAAAGATTGTAAGTAATGATATATATAGTCATATATGCTAATCTAATACAATATATTTTACCTTGCCATAACACAATTCTTATATTGATGCAGTAAAAGATAAGAGACATTTACTAGGCCTTAGTATCTTAAGAGTTGAGCTAAGCAGTCTAGTGATTATAAAATTTTTTTCTCTTTTTAAATAAAAGCCAATGATATATTAAAGAATAGTATTCAGTATTTATTCATGTCAACTTTATAGTGAATCTCAGGTTCTTATGGGACTGAGGAAATACATTTATATATGTAAAATAACCAATAAAAGCTTGTTTACATTCGTGTATTGATGTGATTCTATTGATCAATCAATTCATGAGAAATTTTGTATTACTCAAAATTCAGGGTCAAACGGAAATAGGTAATATTTCTTAGAAAAACTAAGAAAAAACACTATTAGAACCTATATAAGTGATAAAGAGAGTGGATAAAATATGTTCACAATATCTTTTTCATTATAGACAACAGTTCTATAGTGTTTTTCTATAAGTTAGATATATCTTGGGTTAATCTGACAAGTTTGTCATTAATCTATAATATCTTGTATAATCCAAATAACCAACAATACTTCCAATCAATATAAAAAAGAGAATATCTTCTATAAAGAATATTTAAAGAAGATGGAGACTAAATAATTAATTTGGCTAAGGATAAGTATCTCTTTATTTGTATACTATTTTTTTTATATAATATAAATTCTTATCTTTATTTACAATGAAAGCTATTTTTTCAACACATTCAGTATTGCTTTCACTGGTAAGCTATTTATACTTTTCTAACTAATAATGAACTATCTACTTTACAATAGACTATACTAATTCCAAACTTTGATAAACTTTCTATACTATGTCAGATATACATAGTTCTTTTATTAGTACTTGAGCCTCAATCCATAGTTTCTTACCTTGCAACACTCAATCTTTTATATTAGACTTTTGGATTTTTAGGTTCTAGACTATTATATGTAAATCATATTATTCATATAACTTTCAACAATAGGTAATAAAATGTCAGCTTTTCTTTCTTTTAAAACTTTCTTACCATAAGATAGGAAAGGTGTTTTATGACTTTCAGGTCACTAATAGATCATATTTTTGTATAAAGAAAATGTAGATAAGGGAGGGTAGGGACGACTTCTAAAAAGCTTTTTAGTTTAGTTTAAGGAGAGTGATAAGACTTTATTAGCATAAAAGCATGAAAGTTTTTTTGAAAATATCTTTTTTGTATGTGATCAGAGAATTATTAGAAAGAGTTATCAAAGTTTTATCTATTAAATTTTTTTTTAATTATTATATTTTTTTGACAAACTCTTTTTTACTTAAACTAAATTATCTAAAACCTCTTTTAATTAACTTATATAACCTCTATTATTCTAAAATTATTAGATTTAATATATTTTAATGAGATATTTTTTAAATCCTCTGTCAGACTAAATATATATGCTTTATTAAACATATATATACTTTATATTGAAAAATGCAAACTCATTTATCTTTATTTTAAGAATTATTAACACTTTAAGTACAACTTTAGGAATAATTTATTATTCCATTAGTAGTTTGGGTAAAGATTCTTTTAACTGATAATTTCATTGCCTATAGATTACTACTATAAATTATTCTGCAAGGTTCTAACAGAACCTAAAATTCATTTATAATTCACTTTTTTTTTTAGAATTTCTCAAAGACTTTTGTCTTCAAGATTTCATTTTTAAGGTAGTAATTCTCTTCTCTTTTGAGATGTAATTTTCTAGTCTTGATAATATTGAGATCTTTTTGTTTTATCTTTTCTATTAATTTCTTGTGTTTATTTTTATTCAATTATTTTTTCATATTATTTATTCCAGACTTTCTTTAGACTTAATTGCAAACTTTTTTTTTGTAATTTTATTATCTACTTTCTTACTATTTTTTCTATACATTTTCCTTAATTTTTTAAATCCGCTATTTCTAGAATAAGATTATTTCTTATAATATTAGTGCAAAAACTTTGGATGTTTTGACTAGTTTTAGAAATCTGTTTTATCAATTTAGAGATCTACTTATCAAACTTTTCTATTTCTTCTAAATTGTCAATAATCAGTCTGAAATTTTTCTCTTCAGTCTCTTTTATTACTTTCTATAATAACTCTTTAAAGTTTCTAATAATTCTATCTACCCCTTTATTTTATACCTTTTATAATTAATCCTTGTAAACTGGATATTTTAGCAGATGTTTTATAGTTTTATTTTATTGACTATATGCAAAACATTTTATTTGCTTATATAAATCAGGTTTTCTTACAGTCTACTTACTTAAGAAAAGTAGCTCATTATTGACCAGTTTAATAAGAAAACTTCTTTGTTAGAATTGTTTAAAGGATGTATTCCATATATACCTATCTTTAATTTTTTTCTATATTAGGTCCTATCTATAAGTCTAGTGTTCTGAAATCTGATAACTTTATTTTTTCTTTATCTTGTTTTGATATATTTACTGATAAGTTATTGTTTATTATTAATATTCTTAATAAATTGCTTAATTGAGTTATCCAAGGTTGTCTTTTGTTACTTAATTTTAGTAATAATCTTGTGTAAGGTTGATCATTTTATTCAATTGATAAAAATTTTAGGGTTGCTTTTACTAAGGTATCTGCTTTTTTATTGTAGGAATTATTTAAGTATACTTTAATTTTCATGAACTTTAAATTTTTATTTTTCTTTTTTATTAACTCTTTCATATATGCTCAATAAAACCAATTTTTTAAAGTTATTTCTTATATATTCTTCTTGAATTTTCTTTTTCTAAAGAATTTACTTGGAAATACATGTCTAACTATTTATATAAATCTCAAATATTTCTTAATTGGAACTACCAAAAGTATTGTTATAATTGTTACCATTTCAGCTCTTGTAGATAAGGGGAGGATTAATTATTTATTCTTATTGGAACTTGCTTTTTTTTCTTTTTTTTCTATCTAAATTCAAGTTGCTTCTAGATTCATTTCTTATTTTTTTATAATTAATAAGTAATTTATCAAAATAAAAGATTGGTTTTTCTTTAAATCTATGATTGCATTGAAGTATTTCTATTAAGTGATCTTAATATACTTTTTCTCTAATATTTTTCCTAATAATAGATTCTTCCTAGGTTTCAATCTCTACATGATTTACTCTGTTATTTTGAATCATGAAAGAGCTTTATTATTGCTAATCTTTTCTTTGATCTTTTTTTCAAGTGCTAATTTGAGGTTAGGTATTTTTAGATCTTATGTTCTTCCAGTAGATTTTTTCATATTGAGATATAGTACTATATATTTTTTTCTTTATTCTTTTAATGATGCAATTACCATTTTGCATTATATCTTCTGAATATTCATAGCATTTATACATACTAATTTCTTGATTGTTATTGATACTACAATTTATAAATACTCCACTATTATATTGTGTCCCTCTTTTTCTTGTCTTAGCTTTTCCCAAGTTACTTGATTTCTTTTATCTTCATTATTATCTAGAATTTTTTTTTCACTTGGCTCAATTAAGTTCTATTTTAAGTATTTTGGTTTCCATTTTGCACAATTTTTTTTTCAGAATCTTATATGTTGTTTTAGTTATTTTTCTGAAAGATTTTTGATTATGATTTGAAACCATACAGGTATAGATTCTTGCTTGTATTTTATAGGAGTTGAAGCATTCACCAGTCTCTTATTTTTTTAATTTCCTGATTGATCAGCTGATTCAAGTATATCAGTTGATTATTTTAACTATTTTAAGGCAACTTATATTCTTTTGATACAAGATACTCTTCCATTTAAACATTTTTCTTTTTTTATTTAAAGGTATCTTGTTATTTCTGATTATAAAATATTATTCCTATATCTTTAACAATTTTAGTTACTTGAAGTGTAAAGTTACCTTTGTCTATTAGATAACTTAAGGATTTGAAGATTAATAAATTGAGTGGTTTTCAATTTTTTATTTGTGTTTGTTTGAGTTTAATAATTGTCATAATTCTTGCTGATCCAAAATCATTTAATTTGTTGCAAAATCCTGTTACTTGACTTTTTTGTTGTAGTATCCAAATATTTTTCAAGTTATAGATCTTTGGATAGTTAATTATACTATTGTACATGAATCTGCATAAACCACTTTTATTCTTGAAAAGTTTTTTATATACTATTGTCAAGGTGTTATATATTTTTCAGGACAATATGCTGTATTTGTATTAATTAGATATTTTTTTTCATCAATCACTTCCCTGCCTGTTCCGTACAAAATCTCGGGAATAATGGATTGGATAGATAGGGTTTCCTCGTGTGATAAACCCGAATCCAAGAAGCGACGCGTACAAGAAAAATTACTAAAAAATAGTGAGATAGTGAGTAGATAGTTATCCCGCTATTTTACCCTGGTAGCTTACACTATATTGTAACAATAAAGAAATATACGTTTTTCCTGAATTTTCTTGGCAAAAGTGATCGGCGTTACAATTTGTAACACACATGTAGTTTTTATTTAGCATATGCGCAAGACACTCATTCCGGAGAATCATAGAGAAATGAACTAAATTTGAACTATATGTGTGACTATTTGCAATCAATAGATTAGCGCTTGTAACTCATAGATTTTCATCTTGAATCTATTCACATTTCCATGCAGAAATCGAATCTGGCAGCCAAATCCAATCACGAATTCTTGGTACAATTACGCCATCGACTGATTCAGATAGTCTTAATTTATTAATCACTCCCGTTTGAATTTCGAGCTCGCTCTGAAAATTAAGTATGAATGTTATATTGAAGTTGTACAATATCCAATGAATGTATTCAGCATGCCTACCACAAGAATATAAAGGAATTCAAAGACCGCTAAATAATCCGCCACATCAATGAATTCGAATGGGAGGGTTGCAGATTTGATCTATGAAACTTTGTAAACATGACATGCTTATTCATTAAGCATAATTTACTGAGCGTTAACCGGTCGCCTAACAAGTATTTCCATGTAAGATTTTAAAATAGTTAATAAACGTAATGAATGACAAATAAGTTACCGATGCCCTGAATTATGAACGTGTATAACTGTTTCGATTCTTCCGCACTTTTGTCCAAATAATTTCGTAACAGGGAAACAAGACCAAATACGGCTTCTTTCAGAAGCTTTTCTGAATCTTCTTTTAATTTTTTTTGATCTGTGTTTTCAGGCCCACCCAGTACTTCGATAAAAACGATCGCCTTGTTACTCGAATTCCGCATTCCGAGACCATCAGCTTGGTTTATAGGTAAATCAAACTTTGGGAATATCTGTTTCACTTCCCTTTTACAATCCAATTCAACTTCGATCCAATGAAATTTGTATTCATTATATACCGATTGAATTGCTTTGAACAGAGGAACGATCCTTTCGACAATATACGTACACTCACCGATATCTCTTTTTAATGGACCTTTCTTTGTCATAAAATAACTAATCATATCATTATAAAATAACAAGCATATCAGTAATGTTATGATGTCAAAAAATATGGATTCGTGAGTAAACAACACATACAAATCATAAAGTATAGACTCGCAAATTTGACGGAAATCATGATCTTTTGGACTTGCTTCTGAACTTAAAGGAGTCATGATAGCTTTTACAAACTCCTCTTTCGGTGACTAGAGTAAAGAAATTTAATATAGATTTTTTACTATCTAAAAAGAAATTAATGACAACTTACTGTTAATGTCATTATGAGCCAATTACGAATTATACCTGAGATTTCTTCATAAGTATGATTGTCTTTTATGATCATTCCTTGATCATTTACATCTATCTTTATATGATTTTGTAAATAGGTAACGGATTCCTTAAAAAGCACCGACTTTTGAGGAGTAACCTGCATATCATTGACATTAGGCCTTGGCGGTGGAGTCCCCGGGGTTTGGATGATAGGATTTGTAACTGTTAAAGTCGATAATTGACCTTGATTTATCAACGTTGGTAAATCTATAGGATTTATTGCAGGTGCTGGATTATCTTCATTCTTGTTGGTCTGAATTTGCTATAATTGATGAGTTAGTATTCAACTATAAAAAAATATTGTCTCCAAAGAAATCTCAATAATAAATCCAATGTACATACACTAATGCGATAATTTCTATGTCTCACTGTTACTTTTAATTTTGGTTGTTTTCGTTCGCTTGTCTTTTGCTAGATTATGTGTAAAGTCTTAATAACGGTTTATATTATCACTTTTTAACGTCATTTTTTACCTTTTTTTTTCGATTATTTTCCGAATTGGAGGAAGTAGGACTACTATTTGGTTCATACTAATAATAAAATATATTACTTCGGTCACATAATGTTTTGCATACATCTGATATTAAATTACATCGGATTCACTCTGTTTTCTTTTATCGGACTCCTGCTAAAAATTACATAGGCGATTTTCAATATTGATTTATATCTCATCTCTTACACATTGATATTAACTTACTTTCTCTTCATGATTCATGTCAGAGAAGTCAGTTTCACTTACATTGATATCACAATCATCGGATGTACTATCTCCGAGTCTCCTCGTAGAACATTCTCCTTCCTAAAATAAATCGCAAGAGGTAATTTATTCATAATCCGAAGATATATTTCAACTGTATGACTGAAGTGGAAGGTTAAAGATATTTTTTTTGTTAAATAAATTTAAGTTATAACCTTATCTGCATGTTTCCGATTTTGTTTCTACAAGAAAACATGACAGAGTAAGTCGATTTGTATTCCTAATCAATATTAGATTAAATCGTTTATACCATCTTCTCCTCGACATTGGTAAGTGCCACATCAATGACTCTAGAAGGTCTGCGTATGAAACTTGCAAGCTACTTCCGCCTATGAATTAAACGATTTCAGTAAAAGGAAGGTTATAAATGAAATATTTGGTAAGCAACAAATCAAACCTCAGCGTCATCAATCGACGTTTCATTCTCAAATTGTTGATAAAATCTGTGAACGTCCTCAAGTTTCGTTCGATGTCTCTGATGCAGTTATAGAGTAAATTAATATTGATATATGTTATAAAGGAAACCATTACAATCGTAAAATAGTGTGGACAGATCACAACGGGAAACCACCGTAAAGCAGGTTGAACCCCCTGCCGTAGTTGTGCGAGTATGTACCCCTTCTCAGGACTGCAAATGAGACTCCTACTTCCACAATAATTGTGAAACATGACGGGAAACCACCATAAAGCGGGTTGAACCCCCCGCCGTAGTCATGGAAGTATGTTACCCCTTCTCGGGACTTCAGTAGCAAGCCTCACATCTGTCTACAACTCGTGCATCAAAGGAAGAGAAAATAAACACTTTCCTCAAAAGACTTTTGCAAACGGACGGCGTTCTCTTTGACCTGAGGTGTTCCATCTTTCACTAGTGACATCAAACAACGCCAGAGAATGCCAGACTCTTCTCGAAAAGATCGGGCAAAATCATCTTGCTTCTGGCGGTACCTGTAAAAGTCTAGAAACCGAAACTTTTCAGGCGAAGTTTTTTTAAAATATTCCATGGTAAACGCGTATCAATGAAATTGGCAATTTTTCAAAATTTATTTGATAGGGCGTATCACGTGATAATCAAATCTGCAATGAAACTTTTGTATTTTCATATAAACGCACAATCCGCAATTAATTCATTGAAAGAGTTAAATCTTAAGTTCGTTTTTCAATTAATGAACTTAGAAAGGATAATGCTGAAGTTAAGGCTGAGAACACAAGATTAAAGCAATCTATAGAAGAAAATGCTATGCTCAAGTTCAGATTCGAAGAACTAGAAAAGAAAAATAAAATAGATATCACAAAACTTATTGCCGAGAATGCTGAGCTTAAAGATAGAGTCACGAAATTGGAACAGAAGTAATAATCTATTTCTTTTTTCCGAGAACCAACGAAGAAAAAAAGCCTTTGGCTAAATGTATACCCATTCCGCGATGTTACATATTATCGAGAATCTTTATCCTTCCTCCTCATTAATCGGTTCCATATTGGAAAATGTTTGAATATTTCCTACATCGTGCATACTAACATTACTATGAGGACATAATTGGCAAATTAGGTGCTGAATTATTGCCGGAGTCAGCTACTTCGTGACTAGAAATATTATTTTGCGCTTCATCTGTGGCTCCATAAGGCGGTGGTTAAGGAGATAGTGTTTCAATCGGACGTGGGTGAACGTTAATATTTTGCTCAGAATTTCTCATATCGGGATTGTTTATATTAGTGTTATTATTATCATGGGTTGAAGTTGGATAGGGGAAATGTCTTTGACTACTAATGGAGACCGGTTTATTCGTCTAATGGAGAATCTCGTACCCAATACATTCTCAATTTCCTCAATAGATGGTGCTGGTGCTACATTTCCCACGTCTCTATTTCGTCTACGGTTTATGGTATTAATAGTACGGATTCTATCAAATTCATCTTCAGGCCTCTTTCAAAAATGTATACGAAACTCAACTCATCAAAGTATTGCGCACCTGTTCAACTTCTTCGTGCTCTTCAATTCCCTGCCATATAATCGCACATCAACTAGTTGACATAAATTATTAGTTATAATAGCGATATAAGCAAAAAAAAATTAGGAAAAAAATCTATAGTGAATTATGGCTCTTCGAGCCTTAATATACCATACTTACATTGTAATTCTGAACAAGATTCATAAATTTTTTTTACATTGGTGTCCATTAAAGCTTGTATTATGTTCTTGATTAATTCTGGTTGCGATGCTATTCCAAATCCGATTCGATTCCTTCCAAAATTATGATATTCTTCATTTCTATTTCTACGCTCATCGATGAGGATACGTATTT